TTGTGGGTAATAAATGAATTATAATAATTTCCTGTAATTCATGCATTAAGTTCGGCACATGTGAGATGCGACGTTTGAATCAAAAGTCGAACCTAAGTCGAATCTTCGACTGTTTCAGTCACAGATACGGCAAAAGTCGCATTTAATTTAAAACAGTCGAATTTTAATTTATTCAAACGTCGCACTTCACATGCATTTAACTCTCGCATTAAGTTCGGCAAATGTGAAATTCGACGTTTGAACCGGGCCTTAATTTGGATGTGTTAATGTCATATCGAGTAGTGATCATGTCACCGTTCATGTCTCCCGGTACAAAAGATTACATTTTCACTATCCAATTTCCCAATTAGGGATTCAAAAGGTGAAAAATTGCCAATAGGAGAGTCAGGCGGTCTGTACCAAGTAACAATCACAGAAGATTTTGAATTTCGCTTATGGATTTCCAAGCAAAGATTTTCTCGTGTGTCCATATGTAGGTCATTTCGTACTGTAAAGTTGATTGAAGTTTTTACATAGAAGCATAACCCTCCGCCGCATTTTGTTAGTCTATCGCGGCGAACTATTTCGTATCCCGGAATATGAACTTCATGATCTCGAATACTCTCGTTCAGTTTCGTTTCATTTATGGAAACAATATCGATATCATCGTTTGCTAATAGGATTCTTAATTCGTCTATATGAGTAGTTAGTTGATTGACATTGAGTGATGCCATTTTAAAACCGCGCAAAACGGTGAGCGAAAAAATCGGGAAAAAGTGCTTTTCTTATTCTGTTTTGCGTTAAAAGCCTTCAAGTACTGTGTACCAACTTAACTTTATTTCCAGCTTGGATTCAGTAATTTTCTTCCGGAGAAGATATTGGATTCTAGCAGAAAAAAAAAATACATGGCCGCAGTCACGGTAGTTGCACGTGGAATTAACGAGACAAGCAACCCTGTGCAGTTAAATGGCTTTTTTGGGAAAACACTTTATTTTTATAATTTGATTTCTCAAAGTGCAACTTTACCTGTATATTGACCTGTTTCTCTATTTGTCAATCTCCATTTTTTATCTTACTTTTTTCAGCGCTGAACATCTTTCAAGGTTTTAGTTTGAACTTTGCGAGAACTTTAGGACGCGCAGTTGACAAGTTGTGAGAATGGTTCAAGGGTTAATTCACACGGGCAGTTTTTTTTGGAAAGCAAAGCTTGAAGTTGTTTCGAGGCAATACGACTTTTCAGCAAAACGAAGGTGTAATTTTTCGTATTTTCTAGACATGGTCAAAACTGAACTGTTCTTTACTTTTTTTTTTCCTTAAAAGTGAACTGCTAATGCACTAATCAATGTCTTGCCCCGACGGGGGCGAGCCCGGACATACCCAGGGGCTATTGACATTTTTGAAAAAAAATTGTCAATAAGCCCCACTGGGGGGCCTCATTAGAATGAAAATAGGCCCCACACAAGGAGGAAAGATACATGTTTATTTATCTAAGGAATACTAGGACACTGAGAGATATATTTCCTCGACAGAAGTTGAGGAGTATGCCACGAGCGAGACTGTCAAACAAAGTTTCAACTTTAACTTTTTTCCTATTTATATATGCACAGAATGTGCAGACATTGAATGAAAATTATTGTGCTGGCTATAAAAAAATGAAAAATAAACAAGCTGAATGTATTTAAGTTTTTTCTTCCGATATTGGGCGGTAATTGTTAGCATCACCGCAGTCACCCTGNGCTTTTCCGTTGGATGCGAGACGGTTAAAATTCTGCCGTAAAGTAGACAAAGAGTTTGCACTTGAAGCTAAGAAAGAAAAGGCAGGTGAGCCTAACAACTTGAAGATTTGCAGTGCACGTTTTTTACCGGAATCTTACAAAAGAAAATTGAATGGTGAATGTAAAGTTATTGAGTCAGCTGTGCCAAAATTTTAAAAGAACGAAAGTACTCCTTAGAGTATACCTCTCTTCCACCCGATAGCTGCACAAATTTCCGAACGTAAACTCCGGGATATCCGAAAAGTTGTTGGTCCAAGCCGTTAAGGTCTTCGGGTCAAGCAGTTTACCATCCTCAGTCTGTAATTTCTCTTCGAGCAGCTTGTTATAGTCTTTGACAGTATTTTCAAGCTTCGCTTGCTTCATTTCTGCCGCTTTTTCGCACAAATCGACCAACTCTGCCTTCCTTTTCCCTATACCTCCATTATCCAATTGAATGCCACGTTCTTTTAACTACTATTTCAAACCATCAACCTTGTATTTTGAGAAATCTTCGCCTGCTGCATTGTCTAAACGAGTATCAGTAGCGCCCATGTTGGATTTTTATGCACTTAGCCTCGCTCGTGGCGTAATTTTGGAACCAGACACCAAACATGCGGCAACACGGCATTGGGCGATCCGGGAGGGGGGGGGGGAGGGGGAACTGAAAAATAGCCAGGAATCACTCAACTTGATAATGAAATGGTATCAAAGACGGTGGTCTTTTTCATTACTTAATAGTTGCTGAAGTGCAAGATCACTGAACTTGTATCTTGTTTATTGAATGAGCTTCTCGCCAAGACAAGTCTGTGAATAATAAATCAATATTAATTCATTCCCAGGAAATTAATGTCCGGTATGTTTAAATTGCTTCGTATTGGCATTTTGTTGAACTTTCTTCACTTTATCTTACGAGAAGAGATTTGCGACAAGACCTGGAATAAATGGGGCGAGAAAAAAACAAACAAACAAAACCAGAATATTTCATCGCTTTTGTACACAAAACGTAGCCGTGTAGTTTTCCACGACACCTTTCAGTTGCATGTTATTAAAACGAAGACATTTATCTTACCTGGTTCTCACTTTTGCCCTTTTTCTCAGTTTTTCGAAAAAGTACAGCTTAAATTAAAATTGTTAGTGTTGAATTACACTGTCGTGCGATGTTATTAAGTAACATGGGGAACTAAGCAGGTTTGTCTGATTTAAACTTTTGGAAAGGAAAGGTAAACGTAATCTACTTTTGCCTGCTAAATATTTCCTTCGTGAAGAGAACCAGAGGAAGATGACTAGCAGGAACAAGATCTAGAAGGAAAAAAACATGGACTTTACTGACTGGGGGGAAGAAAAAGAGCATGCGCCTTTTAAAGAATTTTTGAGTTACACAATGGCTCTGTAATTGACGCTGAGTGCCATGAATAAATAGAGCCTAAATTTTGATAGGTCTTCGTTTATTTATCGTTCGTAGCTTACCTTGTTGAATAAACTTTCGTATGTATTCAGCCCCAATATTGTATTTTTTTCTCAGTCATAATCAAATAGCCCTTTTTCCAGTTCTGCGTGCGCGGTGTAGTTGGACAGCGGCTTCCTGTATTAGTGCACACGAAAGCGAGGCTATCGGGTCAAGCTTTCTCGAACTTTACAGAAGTTGTGAAGTTGTGGCTATTTGGTAGGGAGACAATCACATTAGTTCAAGCTTGCCATTTCCCCTTTTAATTTCTGCTAGATAGGAATCAAATACCATCAAATGACGTTGTAATTATTATTTGGGAAAACTGATCATTACGGTCATGCGTGAAAGCTAAAAGAAGGCTCAGTCTATAGATCAACTTGCTACCTCTTCTCTACTGTGAACTTTTGACGCAAAGTAGAGTTTGAAGTATAATCATGAAGAACGTAATAAAAATAGTCCGGACCCTGAGAGGACACACGCTAACTGGTAACGAACAGTAAAGCGAGTTACAATGGTTCTTGGACAGTTTGTGGATGATTTCGTAGCCGCCACAGGGATTGTGGAATTGGCAAATTTTTAATAGGAATATTCGTATTTGACATAAAATCGAGTAATTTGTTTATTATTTAGACATATCATCTTTGTGAAAAATAGCATTTTGAAGTCATGGTTTCCTTTACTCGAATCCTGCGACTATTTGACAAATTAGCCGATTTTGTGAGGCGTGAGTAGTCCAGTGGTCAGTGCGCTGGACTCTAGGTCAGATGGCCCGGGTTCAAGTCCTGGCTGGGGCTTGACGTTGTGTCCTTAAGCAAGACGCTTCACTCACATTGCTTCGTCTTCTCGGATAGGACGTAAAGCCGGAGGTCCCGTCTCCTGCACCTATCAATTAGTTAATTTCGGCAAGGGACGTTAAAGAACCCACATCACGAGATTACTGTGATGTGGTCTGGCCTGTTTACTGGGAAGGGGGGGAGGGGGCATCTGTAAAAATTTCTCCTTTATTAATTGTAAACTGCCGCCGGCAGTCTGGAAAAGTCCCCCGCACAGTGTTGTAAAGCGCATTAGAGCATTTACATGGAAATGCGCTATAGAAATTGATCTATATTGATCTATATTGATATATATTGGTACACCTGTTCTAGCCAGAAATTATGGAAGAGGTAATCTCTGGTCCAAAGGTATCGTATCAAAACAAACCGGTCCAGTATCATACCAAGTACAAGTTGGTACTTCAACTTGGCGTCATCTCGATCAGTTAAGATCTGAACTACCAATTACAGAAAGTACTCCTGTTACCATGACAACTACTGAGCCACAGGTTTCTTAAGAGAACTACCAAGAGTCACACACAGATGCACCTTCGACAGTTGATACTCCTGATGCCAACTCATCACAAGTTATCACAGAGAGTCAGAGCAGAACCCTTGATGAGGTAAAGAGCAACGAAAACTCCAAGCAAGCTCCAGTCATGCAAAATCCCGAATTACGAGAGTTAAGACCAGTGAAGAACAGAAAAAATCCAGTATGGATGAAAGACTATGTTGCAAAATGACATTGTTTGAGTTAGCATGAGAATGATTTAGAAACATTTCTCGTTTGAATTTGACTTTAAATCAAGTAACTATGAACGTTTAGTTGTTTGGCTCTGTTTCAGTTATATGGCTTTGTTGTTAAACCTGTTAGTTAAATTTTAGTGTGGGGAAATGATGTGTATGACGTATATGACGTGATGAATCATCGGATTCATGGGTAATAAATTATGATTCAACCACCGAACAAGAATGTTGTGTCAATAAATGACAGAAAAATTGCTTACATTTCAACTGTATCATAGCTATTGCACATTTCCGATGAACCAAGTGTGAGCAAGGTAAAATCTGACATCCACTGAAAGCATCCTACAAGAAATCCACAAAAAATAATTGTACTGAAGTTATGATTGAAGCAATGTTATTAGATAGTCAACAAAGTATAAACGAGTTTTCTAGTATATATTTATGTAACAGGTTAGACAAATTGGTAAAATTGAAGAACAGCTCCCTAAAATATCTGTCGGCCGACTGTTGGCCAACAGTCGACCAACAGTGGACCAACAGTCGGCCGACAGTCGGCCGACAGTCGGCCAACGAACGACCAACAGACGGTCGACAGACAGTCGACAGTCGGCCGACAGTCGCCCAACAGTCGGCCAGCAGTCGGCCAGCAGTTTACCCAATTGACACGAAAAACTGTTGGCCGACAGTTAGTAAACTGTCGGTCACTTGTCGGTGTTCTGTTGGTAGTCTTTCGGTTTACCATTTCGAAATTATCATCGATTCGTTTCGCAGTTTAATAAGACAAGATTACTCTATCGGACACTTAGAGATTTTTCCTTCAGGTAAATTGTTATTTGGGCTTATTGGAACCCCGATTTACGATCTTCGATTTCACGATATTCCCGACAATCTATGTCATTTCAAAAGGTACAGTAAATGTAGAGCAGATTCCCGATTTAACGATATGCGACTCAACGATGTTCGTTTGTATGGAACAGTATGTGAAAGGACTCGATGATGACTGTTTCGGTTGTTGCCCTTTGCACTTGATTAAATACATACATTCCTCCACAAATCTTTTTCGATGTTCTAGGTTTTTTGATATATGGGAAATCACTTTATAAATGTGATACATTCCTTTATTGGTCAATGACTTTTTACATAGTTAATGGAGGGTCCCCTCTATTAACTATGCCTTTTACAAAGATGGTGGCTCCTAAAGGAGCCGTTATGACTCATCGAGTAGCAAAGCTACTCGTAGAATCGGTTGTCAAACTTTATAGGCAACAGTTTGCCCTCTCTTCTTAGGCGGTCCATGGCAGGAATGGGCTTGCGTAAACGCCGCCGACATGCTGCCTCCAACTCCTTCACTGAGCCTTGGTGCTCGTCTATCGCTCGCTCATGCTCCCGCTTATCGATGACTTGTAACTTTGCGATCACGACAAAATCACGGATTGGGCTTCTGGGACAACTAGCAGAGCGATATGCATTTGCCATGCTACAATTGAGCTTCAGGACTTTCTGGTACCTCTGGTGGATTGCTCGTGTGGATTTTCCGGCACTGTCACTGTTTTCGTCTGGCTCACCACGTCATTCCGTTACTCGGCTCAGCTCCGCCTGCAATTCAGCAATTTTTTCTTCGCGGCAACTAGGGATGTTTTTAGGTCTTCGATCACCCCTTCTTTTATCCTGACCACGTGGGCAAGCTCTTGAGCGTCGTTGTTCAGCTCCTCCATCAATTTTTGTACATAATGAGCCACTAAGAAAGAGCTTTTTGCAAAATGATTTCCGCTTGAATTTCGCTTTTACAGCTGCAATACATTCTAGGCAGTAGCTCAAGTAGAAGACGAACACTAGACGCAGGTTTTCAGTTTGATAATTTGTTTACAGATGGGTGAAATATAAAGAATTTCAAGTCCGTTTTCTTGAAAACAACTCTAAGAAAAAGTGGCAAAACCCAATCAAACGGCAGAAAGCCAGTCTGTTAAAGCCATAGCATTTATCAATTGTTTACAAATTCTTAAGGCGCTTGCGCTATCGAGGAGCAACAGAAAGAAGCCTCGAAGCTGTTGGCGACAGGCTCTCTAGTGTTTCATAAAAATGGGCAAAAACTATCATCAGGGAGTTACCTTGGCTCTCTTCTTTGCTCTCAGAATCTTGCTCTCAGCTTCTTCGATGCTGAAGTTTTTCAAAGATTAATTCTTCTTGGCAGACGGAATAGCTTGTTCAGAATGCGACGGTAAAACTTTCTGCAACAAAAAGAAAAAGTTTTTATAGGCAAATGGCCAATATCAGAATAACAGCGAACAGCAAGCGAAACAGATGATATATCGCTGAAACTACTGCACCCTCTGGTGTACCCTAAATAGAGCTGGTTTGCACATTGCGTCACGGCCGCCATGTTGGTGGACGTAAATAATGGATATCTCACTAGCTTCTTTTGTTCGTCCACCAGCATTTGTTCCTTTCGCCATTGTGACCTGTGTCTCTAGAGATTGGTTGCAAACTACCTATTGCAAAACTGGCGAAGGTTAAGGGATTCAATAATACCACGTGATATTTCAAGTTAAGTGACAAAGAGGCAGCACCCCATGCTCTTTTTGTAATAGCTACGACCAGCAATTTCACCGAATCTACAGTTGAAGCCATAACGGCTCAATCAGTCATTTTGGGATGGAAATGTGTGTTCATAAATTTCGAAGCATATTCCATTAAATCGTCGTTTAGTAATCACTAAAACTTTTCAAAGGAATGGTCTAGTGTTGTCGGCTAGAAAAGCGTCACTTTAAACACTAAATGTCAACGTTTCATCTCGAATGCTGTAGAAAATATAATCAGACTATGGAAGTATCAAATACACCGGAAGAACAGATAACAGCGAATTTTCAAGCTTACCTCAACTTACACTTAGCGATAGAGGAGTTCGTACACAGGTGACCATGAAGAAATACAAGTACACTGGGTTTTTTTTTTTTTTTCGGAAACATAGGCCAAACCACCGTGTCTGTTTGAAAACCCTTTCGTTACAGTTTTCAGTTTCTAGCCTGCGTGCAGCCCAACGAAAACCCCGGTTTTATTCGTCTGCGAATCAGCGACAATTATCTTGTACTTCGTTTCGATTGGTTGTTCCTTATGAGAGCGCTCATTGGCTGAAAATCACTCGCGCCAGGTTGCCTCATATGCCATGTTTGTTTTCCCGGCTCGAATGTTCTAATGGAACGCGTATGTATAGTTTGTTCGAAGAATGATATAAATCACCAGGAAAGATATCTGGTAAAAGGGAGAGGTAAATTCAATGTAGCTCAAGATCTATTGAGTCTCAAATTCACTCGCGAAAATCCTTGCGAGCACATTTGCAAGTCATGCCTGGCTTTGTTGAAAAAGCGAAGAGGACCTGTCGAGAACCTATCTAAAATTGAGAAGGAGTTACAAGAATTGTTTGATAGGCCAGCTTCCACTATCAATGAACATCCTCAACTAAAGAGAAGTGGTCCTACCGTGACAAATGAGGGTTCAACACCGAAGAAGAGCCGCTTGGATGATGAACAAGGACCTTCGACACCTCGCTCGAACAAGCAGCTAAATTCACAACAATCGCGGTACTCTGCCAAAGAACCAGTTGAGTTACCATCAATAGCTGCAATTGATGATTCTAAACCAAATAAGAGCCATTTTGAGGAAGAATGTACCTCAATCTTAACGTCAACACCTCAAGGGAAAGGATGTTCCAGCGTGTCTTCGAGACAACAACAAACGCATGAATCTAACCAAGAATTTTGCGAATTATCTCCGATTGCTGCCAGATTAGTACCCAGATCTCCATACGCCAGAATAAGATATTTGTCGCTGATTCGTAGACGAATAAAACCGGGGTTTTCGTTCGGCTGCACGCAGGCTATCAGTTTCCTGTTAAGCTTAATTGAAAACCTGTGCCAAACAAAATATTTTTACACAAAATATAGAAAAAGTTTCTCTGTGCTTTCGAAAAAAGTCATTTCTTCAACCACTGGAACTTTGAATATGTCACTTTTTGCGTTGACCGTGGTGAGTGCGAAGGAAACGATATATAAGAGATGATGGAAATGACAAACAACGCTAAGAAGTGATCAACAATGCTCCTGCTACCAAAACAAAGAGCTAATTTAACGCGGTTCCTTAAAGCGCAGGTACAGAGCTCATTTTAGACGTAGTGGAAAGTAAGGTCCCTCGGATTTAAAATAATTCTCTTTCGTAAGCGAACTAAGAATTTTACAATGTGGTTTTTTGCTTGCAAAGAAATAATCTACAAATTTACCAGTCCTGAAACACCGCGCTTTTCAATGCGTTTGTGCCCCAAGAGCGACCTCTTGCTTTCAATCATCCATCTACAACTTCTGCTCACAAAGCGTGTGTAACACTGTATCATGGCTTCCAATCACGAGTGCAGCTCTTATATCATCCACATGCTTATAATGTAACCAACGAAACAATTTATTTCAAATGTTAAGCACTCACCCCAACAAATATCCAGTATAGCGAGAGCCGAGAAACGAACAAACATAGTCATGCATTATTTAAGCACTCTTGAACTATTGGCGGTTGTTCCCAGGAGCTCTCGATCGAGATCGTTCGGAAAACCGCCAAAGAATGATTTGAGAGTAATTAGTTTCACGAAAGAGCAAGATATCTACATTACAATTGAATAAAGCTTTTGCTTTAAGTTTCGTTTCTGTTACATCGTGGTTTCTGACCAATTTCAGTTTTCAAGTTACAACGTCTTGAAGAAAGAGTTGGGATAAAACAAAAATTCGATTCAAGAAAACTTAAATCTTGGTCCTTTCTTTAATACTTATCCAAAAGAAAACAAAATTGTCAGCATGGGCCTACTTTAATCCCCTTAAATCGCACAGATTATTAGGCTTTAACATGCTTCCCTCTACATCTACCTTATTAATTTCTTCCGCTTGGCTGGAGCATCTATTTTCTAACTAAGCTGTTTTTTATTATTATTTACGCATTATTGCATCAAAGAAAAATCGTGCAATTAGTGGGAAATTCATAAAGCTGGCTGAACTTTATTGTGAGTTAAGGCACAATTAAGTAGAGAAACAAATACACAATGACGTACGTTTTGTACAAGAACCGTTTGTCGGTATACACGGCATTGGTTGCGCCATTTTCAGCTGCATTGCATAGGATAAATTGATAGATGTAGCTTACATTGGACTCACTAAATTCTATACCTTACTGGTATTAAAATTCGCGCAGTACTAGAATTTGCGTACAATGTAAGTTCGCGAAATTTCATACTGCGTCAAATATGATCCGCGCGAAAAGGTTTTAAATTAAATATTAACTTTATTGATAACTTAAGAATTTAGAATTACACAATGTACTACGAAATAGTATTACATATGGTAATATTACAACAGTTAACAGTATCGCTGGATACCAAAGAGTTTTCAGTGAGAATTAGAGGTTGGTGTTTAAAAAGGCAAGTTATCCGTTCTATTTATGTGTACACAGATTACCATCAAAAATTAGAAATAAAAAATGACTTCATCATCATCTTCTTCAACCTGAGAAATTTCTGTCGGGATTCTTTCTGGTTCCGTGTAATATTCCACCAGAAAATACACCAGTATTTTCTTCACTAATTACTATTATTGTTAATGTTATCATATGCAATACCATCTGTGTAAATGGAATACAAATAAATTGT